CTCTCTGATTAAACAGTGGTGTACCAGATCTTTGTCACTGTGGTTATAATATTTAAAGTTAAGATTATAGAACAGTCACGGGTAAAGGACACAACCATAACTATAGGTTTCAAGCATGAAAGTAAAAGCTATTTCCTGTGTTAAGGTTTTGTTTTGTCAGCCCATTCGTCCACCCCAAACCCACGTGTCAATGGATAACATGCCTATACAGCAGTGTACATTAAAGAACAGCAGGTCAGTGATGAGCTGATTGTATGATGTGACACAGTGTTAACACTCTTCTTAATATCGCTGTCTCTCTCTCCCTCTCTCTCCTTCCACCTCCCTGCTGCCTGAACCATCAGATACCTTGGGCATCGAGTTTATGGGTAAGGAAGCTTTTCTTGTGTTTCATCTACATGAGTCATGATTGTTAACATCACAAGGCTTCATGTTGGACCAACATTGCACTGTGTGATTAATTACATACTGTAAATGCATCATTCATGACACCCAGAAAAAGAAACATGCAGATGTGCATAATCATCTATATATTATTTGAGATGTGGTGAATTGAAATGGCATCTATATGACTGTACTCCCAGATTCACAGCTACCAGCCCTTCTCTGTGCACATGCTACACTGTATTTCTTTGAAATATGAGCTATTGTCTTTGTCTCTCTTGGCTCTTTCTACTCATGTATTTATATATCTTTACTTTTGGCACCATCTCTGTCTCTATGCTTTATTTCTCTCTCTGCTCTCCCTCTCTTTCTTTCTCTCACAATTGCTTATGAAGTGTCCCTTCAGAATACCAATGTGCTGCAGTCTCCTTGGAAACAGTGAGAACAAAGAGGCAGGCAGGGTACAGCGAGGGAGTTTTTATGATGTTGGCACAGTTAATAAATGCATTCCTCATTTGTACATGCGTATATATGTGCACATACATGGCACATGTTCAGTAATGTGTTTCTGACATGCTTAGTTAGTCTTTAGTGTGAGTTACATGGGCTTCTTCAGATGTTTGTTTCCCATGCACATGCCTGCGAGGATGTGCAGTGTGGATGCCAAGAGCTCCTCCTCATCATTGCCAAGCTCCTCTCTCTTGTTCTTGGCTCTCTTCACAGCCTCTGTGTTGGGTATCACAGCTGAGGAGTGCTAGTTAACCACATGGAAGCTTGTTGTTAACTACAGCCCCTCCCTCTGTCAGTTGGTAGAACTTGGGACCTTTCCACACAGACAGGTTGGAAAAACAATGGATCATCTAGGAAAATGGCCTCCCCCTGGTGTGATACTGCTGCTTCTACATTCTCTAAGTAAAATTTCACAGGAACAAGCTGTGCCATGCTTCTTTTCTGCTGCACAACCACTGCATTTGTAGTCAAATGAACAAATGCTTTCTTCAGGAAACTTGCTGAGAGTATGCAAACCTGGCAGTGACAGATGATCTTTTCCACCAAGCTATCTTGCAGGTTTTGCATTTATATTCAGCGGGGTTTTATGCCTCTGCAACATTGTTCAAGCTGCCGTATTTGCTTTGCCTAGCCAGTGTCTCTAGACCTGCCAGAGTCTTCCACAGCACTGTGTTAAGCAGGGCACAGATAAATAAGCACCTCCCACACTAAACGCTGGTTTGTCAGTGTTTGTTTCCTCTGTTTCATATTCTTCTATTACACACTTTTGTTATTAATAGGGTATATAGTGCATAACATGAAAAAGTATGCCTTCATTTTGAAGGCTTGAATACAGATGAATAGTGTGGGTTTTCAGCATCTTGGATTGGTCCTTCCAAGGGTTCTCCATTTCTGTTAATAGCAACTGATGCCATATTATTATTGGAAGGAACTTCTTCACCCACACACTGATATAATTCCAGTCAGAGACACTTACAGTGCATTTAGGAACTGACCGTTTATAGGAAACGGACACAGTTAGTTCTAGCAGGAAAGGGTTAACCCTTTGAGGGATCAAAGCTGCAAAAAGGATTCTGCTGAGAAAAACAATCCTCCTTTAATAAATAATAGGCTTAACAGTTAAGGAGGAGGTTTGGTGCTGGAGGGAGCTGAGGCAGTGAGCAGCACTGACATTAAGGTGTCAGCAGACTAGGTAGTTGTAAAATGCTGCTGTGCATGCCTGTGTGAATATTATTGGATGTTATTAGTCAGCTACTAGCCAATTAGCTGACCAATGAGCCACTGATGGTGAAGCATGAATTAAGCACTTGATGTCAGTCAGTCACTACAAGTGTGATACAAGGCTCTGTTTGTGGGACGTTTAGAGGACAACTCTGGGTTGAATCTTATTGTGATGGTTTTGGCCATTGCTACTGACAGTAAGAAGTTGCTGAGATCATGGCACTGTAGCAAACACTATGCTGTAAGCTCAAATCAAAGTTAACACAGACTTTTACCCAGTATACTAGGTATACTACTATAGTATACTATTTCACCTGCAATGGGGCCTGATAACATACCTCCAGACAAAGTCTTTTAGATTAGCAGTCAAAGCTTCTGCCCTTGCAACACATAATCCATACATCATCTAACTGAAATTTTTCAATTATTCCAACTTCAGTTAATGTTGTCTTTGTACAGGAGGTCTTTCTACTTTGTTGTTCTTTTCATTTATGTGTGTGTGTGTAGTACAACACCACCATTAACTGTGATCTCAGTGGGGAACCATTTAATGTATTAACATTTTTATGGCATTGTCAACAAAAACTAATCATTATACGCATCATAAAGAACATGACCACAGAGGTGCACCTGATAATGCATATACACAAATCCCTAGCCCAATGATATTTTCCACAGACAGCCCATAGCCCTGTGCATGATTTATAAAGAAAGAGCCACCCCTCCAACAGAGGCCGTTTCTGGGGTTAAAATTAGAGCAGAAGGTTGAGATCTCTCCACCCAGGATCTCACCCACCCAAGGCTTAATAAAACAGAGAATATATTCAGGGATTCTTGACTCCAGCCTCCCTCTTTATACATTTTTATCCTTAGCAAAAAAGGAGAGAACATTTCTCTGTATCTAGTCAGTCAGTCATGTGGGTATCAATATTTCCTTTCCATCAGAGATCGCTGAGCTCAGACTGGTAAATGTTCCACTCGGTTTTAAATCAGTGTTAGAGCAAAGTGTTACAGGTAGCTATTTTTTGGGCGGAATGGATTTTATGTCATGTTGATTTTCAATTTCCCTCCAGAGGGTTAAGGTGTGTTTGTGCTAGAAGGAAACGGTTTAGCAAACTCCAGCAAAGATGAATAGACCTAGGCGGACACATTTGTGTGTGTGTGTGTGTATTTTACATGTCCTGACAGTGGTTATACGGGTTAATAGCATTTATGTCATTGAGTTGTCTTTTATTTTTGGAGTCGAGGTAAAAAAAAACTTTTTATTTTGCTGTGCTTGACTTTGACAACTTGGAGACTACAACACATCATGACTACAAAGTTGTTGGCTTGTGCTGCTCAATGTCAAAGAAGAAAGAGTTGAGTAACAGGAGAGAAGAAAGACAGACAGATGTACTACAGAGTGAGAAACAGCAGCTGCACTGGTGTTGTTCCAGAGATCATTTTTCAATCAGTGTCACAATTTCTGTTTTTTTTTCCCAGAGATATTCTGCAAATGAGTTCTGAATTCCACAAAGATATTTGTTGTTTTCCAATAAGTCAGTGTTGCTGCTGCCAGAAACATAAAATACTTTCTGCACACACAGGGGCAGAGTCACAGGCAGTGATAGTAGGATTACTTGTCCAGGTTCAAAGATCTTGTATCCCATGTTTGGTGAATTTATAGTTTTACATTTGTCATAAAATCTGAGTGTTACTTTCCACTTGGTTGCAGTGTATAAAAAAGGTTCTTGGTCCTCGATTTGGTCTTCAATTTTGTAGCAAGCCATACAGGTATAGCAGGTTTTTCTCCATCACTGGAAAACTGGCCCCCTTTTTGCATATACACTTTTTAACAAGTTGCCTGATTTATAAAGTACAGTTTAAGTCAGATTGTATGTGTGAGTGTGTGTGTGTGTGTGTGTGTATATATATATGTTCCTCTGAGGAACAGAGGAAAGAGCCGTGACCAGCTGAGCGAGCACGCTTACTTTAGCACGGCAGACCTACATAAAAGAAAGTTTTGTCCAACATCAGCAGCCTGCACTCCAGTGTGTGGAAAGACCACGTCTCAGGGCTGTAAAGTGATCGCTGGAAAACCACATCCCTCTGTTTGCATCTTCGGATCTGTCCTCACACCTGTGTCATCCCTCTCATTGATCCTCTCTTGTCAATCTCAGCTGCACTTGGCACAGACAGGAGGATATAATTTACTGAGTCCAAACCCAGTCCGGGCACTTTCAAATCCAGGGGTGATACCACATAGCCTTTAATGTTGCACTAGGTGATATAAGCCTGTCGTTGGAGGTTGTTAAATGGTGGCAGATTTTGGTGATGATGTGCAATTTACTTAACAATTACTACCTATGACAGCTAAATCCAGTCCAGCTTTCCTTAAAGTATATCATATATTTAAAAAAATTAAACTCCTCACTGAGTAAATACAGATACTGTAAGTGCAGATTGATAAAATATAAAAAAGATTTTGTGTAAGACAAACATGACAGTAAGTTATTGAATACATTAGAATATTATGAGTGAGCAAACAATATGAATTAACACAGCAGTCATGCATATTGTGCTGTAAATCACTCTACCCAACTGAATGCTACCTAAGATTTATTGATATGGGAAATACTGTGAGTATGTCAAAAATGCAGCAGGTTACTAATGGAGAATTTGGCATCATGTGCTAATTTTACACAGCATACATACACATGATAAATGCTGAATGACTAATGAACTGCACATTCAATTAGCAGCCATTAAACCTGTGGAAATGAAAACCACAACAAGCAGATCTGAAGTTTAAAGATGAAATTTGATCCTCTTTTATCTTGATGCAGCAGTGAGCTGTGCCTGAGTTTGATGACATTTGATCGCCTGCAGATCTTAACTTGAAACCTTATTTGAAACAACATTATACTAGGCTGTGATTACGAGTCCAACTATGGCTGTTTGTTTGTGTAGCAGTCAGCCAAACATGACCTTTTTAGTCCTTTACAATCATTTGGCCAAATGATGCCTGTACGTCAAACTTGAACCAATTCCAATGTGCTGCCACTAAACATTAAACTTTATTGCACTCAAACTAGAGCCCACTGTTTAATTCATAATTGTACAAATGCAACACAATTTAATAAACCTCAACCTAATATCTGCAACAGAGCCTGACGGTGTCAGTGGCTGCCAGCAGTCGGACTCGTCCATATGTCCAAATCATTAGATACAAATCCTTGAATAACTCACAAACCTGGCACTGCCTCCATCATATAATAAGAGTAAGATATCACAAATCCTATTATTGCCTAGATGGAATATGAATCTGTGTCATTTGTGAGATTTATTCATACACAAGAGATTTTTTAGATGATTTCACAAGGAGAGGAGAAACCCAGTCGAGTCTAATGAGATAATGTCAGAATATGAGCCCGAGTTTGACCAAAATTTCAGACTGAGGCTTTAGATCATAAGACCTCCTACAGACAAAGCAGATGTGCTGGAGCACTTCCAATTGCATTTTAGTGTCCTCTGATTCTGTGTCATAAACCCCAGCATGCAGACCTAAGGCCCTTCATCAAGGTCCCACAGCGAACAGAGATGCTGTTCAGCCAGTTGCCGCACTTTAGTCGCCTCTGTTCATATCTGTGTGTGAGTATCTGTGTCTATACTGTCACCAACTACAAGGAGCCTAAGTCACATCTTCACATCCGGTTAGCCTCTGTTCCACTAGCTTCAGTGGCTCTGTGCAGCCTCTCATTTACATCAGTCATTGGAAGAAAACTAAGTGTGTTCCTCTGGATTTTTTATTTCATTTACTAAGACGAGCCACCAGTGGGCTCTGGCTTCTGGGAAATGGTGTTTATTAAAGCCCAGTAAAAACAGAAATATTACATTAATGTCAATAATATGTTGTTTTAAAGAAATATATCACTACAGTGTAAGCAAATGTAGTGAAGCTCACAACATACTATTGAAAATGTTCCAAGCCTGGATTTTTTAGTTATTAGCCAGAGTAAAAATCTCAATGGGATTTTGAATGGGGTTTTCTTTCTTCCATAACACAACCTGGAAGCTCTTGTTTTACTTTGGCTCTCACTGTCCTGTACATGTTTGCTAGTGTTTGTGTGTATTTTGATCCTTGTGCACTTGATGGCATTGTCAGGATGTCAAAGAGCTGATGAGGCCTGTATTTATTTATAGTAATAAAAAATAAGCAACCTTCTAAAGGTTTAGGCAATATTTTGAAAAAATAGATCGTATTTTGAAGTGTTGGTTCATAAAATATATTTTCTCAGTTGTATTTAGTGGTCCAGTATCTATCTATGCAGAAAGCTTTGGTTTTATTTGTTCAGGTTTTAAGATATTTCTCTCTACCACCATGTTAGTAATGTAATATATTACTTTCAATCTTCTGTGGAATTACAACGAAAAACGGTGAAATCTCTAGATTATACTGAGTGGGCTGTGTTTTTTCAAGTCTTTGAGCAAACAATTTTCCATTAACTTCTATGGAATCAGGGTTGTGGCAGTAATCCCGGATGCCAGTCCAGATGTCAGTTTCAGTTGAACCCACCCTTTAACATAGTTTGGCATGTGGGTGAATGTAGCTCTCCTGTCAGTGTGTTAGGGTTTTTATCAAACAATGTGAGTCCTATTTTAATATACTAAAAGCAGTAACAGCTAAAGGCTTTCATCTTTATTGTATATAAAGCTGCTTCAAAGGTATTATTAAGGTTAATCCATCACTTACTGATCTCTCTTTCCAGCAAAGACATCTGCATGGAAACATGGCTGCGGTAAACACATTCTGAGTGTAGAAGATTACATACATACTAAAAGGTCACAGCAATACCTCTATATTTCTGCTGCTATCAGCTCCTTTAGTGTAATCATATTTTTCTATAATGTTACAGTAAATAAAGACCCAGAAGGGCTCTGCAGGGCAGAACTGGAGGTTTGGAGTAAATAAATTGAAGTTGTGACCCACAGAGGGAACGATTGCCTTACTCCAACCATATGATTAATTGACATTATCAGAGTTTGCTTGTGTATTCGGTGTGTCCAAACAAGGACATGGAAACGTGGGGGGGTGAAGCATTGTTTGACCTTGGGAACCTATTTCTGCTTGGCCTCACACCAAGTGTGCTGCATGTATCTATAATATGTATGTCTGAATTTATGTGATGTACTGAACTTTTGTATGTATATACATTAGGTGTATGTGCCTGTACACAACAAGTTTCAGTTACCTTTTTATGCAAACAGGGGTCAAAGTTGCATTTTTTCCATTTCAACCAATCATGAACACACTATTGTGAAGTGTCTTTTTTGAGACAAATGCACTTAAAACATGTGGATGAAAACATTCAATCACTGCCCCTCTCATCCAGACCTTGTCCCATCATGTTCCCTCTTACAGTGGAGCACCACTTTGATACAAGTTGGCCAAATGAAGTAACAATTTCCCTCTAGAACAACAGCCAGAAGTGTGTATAATTTTTTTTATCTTGTGCTGCACTTCTGGGACAGTGAGATTCAAAATATGTAGGCATTCATCAGGCAGCAAGGGCCTAATGGTAGGAAATGGTTTTGAAGCCCATCCCGATCTAAATGAAAAGCTGGGATATCTTGACCTCTTCTGCTTTGATTTGAACAATTCTTTTTTTTATATTCTGACTCTTGGGATTACCCCAACATTATGGAAGTGCTATGTGAAATTGCTGGAGTAGTTCTTTAAGGTGTAGTCGGTCCTTAAATTACACAATGATCATGGAAATTGCTATATAGTCAGCGTGAAATGTAATAATTCCTGCATAAAGTCAGCACAAAGACCTTTGTCAGGCATTTTTAAAATAATAAAAAGGGTTTAAAAGCAGAAGGACTGCATCCTGCCCCTCTGCTGCGTCTCCATATCTCAATACTCATCATGTCTGTCCTCATATATCCCCACCCCACACTTTCTTTCTTTCTATCTTCTGTGCAGCCAGCCTCAGTGTGCTCCCGTAGGACAATCCTCAGCTCCCTCTCATGATATAATTATAGCCAATGAGCCAATGTGATGACTCAGGCTGATTAGCAGCATCAAAACAACACTGGTCCCAAACATAACTTAGACACTGTAGACAGAGGTGGAGAAGAGAGCAGAGGATGCACTGACAACACACTAATAAACTGTGTGACACCTGTTATTGCAGGGACTGTGTATGATGTACTGCTTGTATGACGTATGGGCATCAGTAGCTTAAAGGCTACAGTGGTAAGCTTGTCCTCAAAGATGCACAGCTCCCAGACTGGCTTGAAAATCATGATGTGGTGGTGAATTAGTAACACTCTCCACCACCAGCTGCTGTCAGGATGCCCTTGAGCAAGACACAGGGCTGCAATCACAGTATGGTATTCTATATCTCCCAGCAGTGGGTTTCTGAGTAGTGGTTAAGAACTTTATATTTTTGAGTATTATAACCCGTCCATGTAAAAATTGGTCTCACTTAGTGTAAAACCCCAACACCTTGTGCTGTCCATGTGCTTTTCCAAGGTCTGAGTCTTGCTGAATAAAACTTGATTGATCCCCTATTAATGTGTCTGAAGGCAGCCATGATTTACTTGTTTGAAACAAACAAGACAGCTTCCATTTTTCTTCACTAATGGTGTCCGTCAGTGCAATAACTCTTCATGTCTGCATGTATTCAAGCTCCATTACATGTGGCATCCATTTCAGAAGCACTCTGTGTCTATTGGACCATTATTCAATGATGATAGAGCTGATAAAATGAGCTGAAAGGCTACGTGGTAACTAAGAACAGCAGGTGCTGCTGGAGAACTGTAAATAGATGTTTGTGTAATGTACTGTAAATGGGCTTTGAGATGTTATTTTTTCCAGTTTAATTTGGTTTATTTATCACAAAGGTAATTACACTTGTACATGAAAGAATCTGCGAGACAGATAGCAACAAAGCTCTAGAGATGTTACGCCCCAACTGGTTGTTTGTTCATTAAAATGGCGGTTTGGGTGCTGTAAACAACAATGGTAGAAATTAAAAGTGGGTAAGTACAAATCTCAAAACCATGTTTAATTCTGTGTTATCATGAGATTGCCATACCCCTATAATAATTGTCTGTGAATGTTGACTGTGGGATCTCAGCAGATATGTACATTTTTATAAACACTCACACAGACACACAAAACCCCACACGTCCTCTTCCTTCCTTCCTCTGTGTCTCTCACACCCGCACATGCTGACAGATACAGTATGTACATGATCTATGACAATATTTCACAGGAGTGAGTTGTTCAAATATTAATACAGCTCCTTCCATCTATTTTGTTTTCTTACAGAGAGCAAAGAGGTGTACAAGAGACAGGTGCTGTCAATCACCTCCATCGCCCTGGTGATCAGCCTCCTGGGAACCCTGTGCATGGCCCTCTACTGCCGCAACAAGTGAGAGGATACACACACAGAAACATCAAATCTCCACTTTAAATGGCTGAACCTTTAAAGTTTCGGGACATAGTTTGAGTTCTTGCTGGTAATGATAACACTGTGCTCACCACAAATCACTTAGACTGTCACATTAGTTTTAAACAAACCCCCAATGAGCGCAGTAAATGTTTTATATTGCTCTGCAGTTTTCTGTTGTTTCAGCTGTGCTCCTTTTTGGCTTTACCTCCAAATAAGCAGATTAGATAATGTAGTTAAGTAACTAAGCACATTTATCCAAGTACTGTACTTAAGTACAATTTTGAGGTATGTGTACTTTACTTGAATATTTTCCTTCTGTGGTACTTTCATACTTCATCTTCACTACATTTAACTGGCAAATCCTGTACTTTTTGCTCCACGAGTTATTAGTTACTTTTCAGAACAAGCATGGTGTTCACATGGTTTATGTGTGCTGTGGAGTGCAGGCAATCATGGACAAAATTATTTTATGTGTGCTGTGGAGTGCAGGCAATTAAGGAAAGAGAATAAGTCACCTGAACAACTGCATGTTGAGGTATGGACCGACAGTCGATGCATTGACCTCCAGCTACTGCTTTCTCTGTGTTTTGGGAGCAAATATGACATTTGCACATAACGTGAGCTTCAGACAACCGCCTTGATTTCAGTCAGTCACATGCTAGCATGTCATTTTGTAGACGGGTTTGCTCACATATTGATAGGGACATTTCTGTCCTCCATGTGCAAACTGCTGACTTGTTGGCTTGTTGGCCTGGTTGAGCTACAGCTCCATGTTTTAAGATCCTCATTACCAAACATAACCAACAGAAATGAAGCACAGGTAGAAAAATATGACCCAAATGGAAAGAGCATACATTATTTAATTTATTTAGCTTTATAGACACAGTTAAAAATACAAATGTACATCACAAAACCCTGAGTCAAATATTCTATTCATACAGTGGTGTGAAAAAGTGTTTGCCCCCTTACTGATTTCTTATCTTTTTGCATGTTTGTCACACTGTAATGTTTCAGATCGTCAAACAAATTTATATATTAGTCAAAGATAACACAAGTAAACACATCATGCAGGTTTTAAATGAAGGTTTTTATTATTAAGGGAAAACAAAATCCAAAACTATAGAGCCCTGTGTGAACAAGTGTTTGCCCCCTAAACCTAATAACTGGTTGGGCCACCCTTAGCAGCAACAACTGCAATCAAGCGTTTTCGATAACTTGCCATGAGTCTTCCACAGCGCTGTGGAGGAATTTTGGCCCACTCATCTTGGCAGAATGGTTGTAAGTCAGCCACATTGGAGGGTTTTCGGGCATGAACCGCCTTTTTAAGGTCATGCCACAGCATCTCAATTGGATTCAGGTCAGGACTTTGACTAGGCCACTCCAAAGTCTTCATTTTGGTTTTCTTCAGCCATTCAGAAGTGGACTTGCTGGTGTGCTTTGGATCATTGTCCTGCTGCAGAACCCAAGTTCGCTTCAGCTTGAGGTCACAAACGGATGGCCGGACATTCTCCTCCAGGATATTTTGGTACACAGCAGAATTCATGGTTCCACTTATCACAGCATGTCTTCCAGGGCCTGAAGCAGCAAAACAGCCCCAGACCATCACACTACCACCACCATATTTTACTGTTGGTATGATGTTCTTTTTCTGAAATGCGGTGTTACTTTTACGCCACACATAATGGGATGCAAGTTTATCACTACATAAAATAATGATCAACATAAACATGTTTAATCATTTTCAGGGGTTGGATCAGAGTTTCTTATACCTTTCAGTCCTGTAACGCTGCTCACCAAGGTCTGGGTTAGCACTCAGGTTAAGGGGAAACTCCACACAACACCAGCAGAGCAGACACACGCCTACACACACGTACACAAAATCTAACAACCACAGCTGGGTGTTTTATTCAACTCTCAGATACACTCTGTTTCTCTAACCATGTTGCCATGGGATATATGGAATTTTCCCATGAATATATTTACAGGTAAATTAGTTGCAGTGACATGTAATTTCATCCCAACTGTCAGTTTTCTTGCTGCTATTTAAACTGAAGCTCCTCCAATAATAATTTTGAAACTTAATTTGATGGTAACATTCACAGTAAAACTGCTATCTATCCTAAAGAAAGCAAATTGTTTAATAAGTATTTCGAAGTAAGCTGTGTTAGGTGTGGGTAGACACAATGTCCAAGGAGACATTTTGTTAATTTTGTGAAGGCTGATGGAACATGATGAGGCATCAAACATCTTGAATGAAATCCCAGACTGAGTATTTGCAACAGTTTGTAAATCTCATTATGTGCACACACATATTCATAGCCCATTATAACCCAAAGGTCAGCTCATGTGGCTCGTGCACTCTCCCTCTGTCCCTCTCTGCATATTTCTGCAGTGCATGCTTTGTGTGTGCACATTCATTGCCATACGAACGGCCTAC